CTTAAAAGGTGTTCAACATCACTAATAATTAGGGAAATGCAAATTAAAACCACTTTAAGATTTCATCTTACCCCAGTCACATTGGCTAAGATCAAGAGAGCAAATGATACCAAATGTTGGAGAGGATGTGGGGAAAGGGGAACACTCATGCACTGCTGGTGGGGCTGCAGATTTGTTCAACCCCTATGGAAAGCAGTGTGAAGAGCTCTTAAAAAACTACAAATGAACCTACCAGTTGACCCAGTTATACCACTCCTTGGCATATACCCAAAGAACTCATCCTATTGCCGAGACACATGTACATCCATGTTTGTTGCTGCTCTTTCCACAATAGCTAACAGATGGAAACAACCTAAATGTCCCTCAATTGACGAGTTGATAATGAAAATATGGTTAATTTATATGATGGAGTTTTACTCAGCAGTAAAGAAAGATAAAATCATGAAATTTGCAGGTAAATGAATGGAACTAGAAACTGTTATACTAAGTGAAGTAACACAGACTCAGAAAAAAAATCGACATATGTTCTCCCTCATATGTTGATCCTAGAACCAGAATCTGATAAATAAGTGTGCAACCAGACATAACTACAGGAACCAGGATAATGGAAAGGAAAATTAAGGCCTGTTTCCTACTGTTCTTCTCTTTCAGGTTCTTTCTTTTCCTTTACCTCCCTGTTTCCTTTCCATTATCCTTGCTCCTGTAGTTATGTCTGGATACACACTCACTTATCAGGGTTTGGTTCTAGGAACCTAGGGGATAAAAGGAAAGAAGGAGCTCAAGAGAGGTAGGACCATAGGAGAAGGGTATTTTTTAAGAGAGAAAGTGGGGGAATGGGGGCACCTTAAGTGGGAAAACCATGATGGAGGGGTGAGACAATGTGAGAGATAAACAATGCCTAGCTAGTTTTGAAAACCAGAGAGAACCTTATTACTAGCCTAGCCCTTTTAATCAGACCAACTGACTGCTCTGAAGGACAGTGCAGACCAAGGTTGTGGTCTCTTCTTCCCGCCTAGCTTCTGGTTCTAGGAATTGCCTCTTTGGAATGGTCAAAGTCTGTCCTCACCTGGCTTTCCTCTTCTACGTCTTTTTCAGCTATCTGCTGTATTACTGTAGTAATACAGTACAACAGTCTCCTGTTGCTGTTTAGTACATTTCCCTTGGTAGCTTAAAACTATACAAAATCATGATGTTGTGGTTCTGTAGGTCCAAATGTGGCTATGGATCTCACTGGATGAGGCTCCATGTGTGGCTGTTCTTTTCTGCAGGCCCTTGAGGGGCCCTTCTCCCTTCCTTTCTCAGCCTGTGGAGGATTCAGCTTTTCTGGGCTCATGGTTTCTCCCTCCATCTTCAAAGCCACTGATACTGCATCTCTAGTCATTTCTTTTTAGTCACTTCTCCAAGGAAAGGCTCTTGCATGTGAGGACCCCCATCATTAGATTGGGCCCATCAATGTAATCCAGGATAGTATCCTCATATCAAAGTCCCTCACCAGTTCTGCAAAGTCTCCTCATTGGGTCTTATCATTTGCCCATCACAACCACCATCAGAAATTTCTTTTAATTTAGACTTCAAGTGTAAAACTATTTGTTCAAACCATATGACTGACTTTTCCTCTGCTGAGAGGATCTAGTGTTGTATTTCCATCTGAGATGCAGTGGTTTTTCTGAAGCTTTTTGTACCCAGGCCCCAAGCCAGGTCTCAGCTCTAACTGAGTTGGTCCCACCAGGAGGCTGTTTTGCCCTCTGTTTCCCTTCTTGCCTAACTTCTGCATCTAACTCCAGTTCCTTCTGTTTTCAAGGCCCTCCCTTCCTTCCTCCCTCCCTCCCTCCCGTTTTAATTTTAATTTTATTTGTATAAGTATTTGCCTACATGTATGTATATGAACCACTTACATACCTGCTACCCACAAAGGCCTAAAGACAATATCAGATCCCCTGGAACTGATGGTTGTGAGAAGCCATATGGATACTGGGAACTGAACTTAGATCCTCTACAAGAGCAGCCAAGTGTTCTTAACTGCTGAGCCATCCTCCAAGCTCTGCCTTTCCTTCCTTCCTTCCTCCCTCCTTCCCTCCCTCCCTCCCTCCTTCCTTCCCTCCCTTCCTTCCTTCTGTATTTTTGAGACAGAGTCTCCCTGTAGCCACAGCTGGCCTGGAACTCACTATGTAGACCAGGCTGACCTCCATCTCACAGAGATCTTCCTGCTTCTGTCTCCTGAGTGCTAGGATTAAAGGCGTGTGACATTATGCATGGCCTTGGAGCTTATTTCTTGTTTCCACTTCTCCAAGTGAATCTTTTGTTCATCTATTTGTTTCTCTCTTGATATATATTTATGTTATGTCTCCTTTTCCTTAAATTTTGAGCTACGGGAAGGAAAATGAATACTTTAAAAATCTCTCTTCTGTTTGTTATGGTGCTGTACTATTTGTAGGCTGTCTTCATATTTTTATGGTAAAAAAATTAGCAGTTTGTGGATTGCTTTTAGACTGTACTTAAATTATTTAGAACCTGCTGTGATTATGAAAGTGGATAATGTTATGCTAAGGTGTACTGAGAAATATAGAACGAATCACGTAGAGTTGTAATATGTTCTTTAAATTGGAAGACTTTCTAAAACTAACTATTCATTCAAAACCATGGTGCACCTTTTAATTTCATTGTAGTTTGAAGGAGAGATCGTCCCTTTCTTTTCCTTTGTTGAATGTGGTTATTTAACTCTGTCTCTCCCTACCTCTTGCCCCGAAGCCTGTTTGTGACTGTTACTAACTTTCAATACTGGTTTACAGAATTCAACAAAAGCGCCCCTCAAGAGGTCAAATGTTGAGAAGGTAACCAATGTGCAGATCCTGGTGCTGTTTGGCATCCTCCTGGTCATGGCGCTGGTGAGCTCAGCAGGGGCCCTGTTCTGGAACGAGTCTCATGGCGGGAAGAACTGGTACATCAAGAAAATGGGTGAGTGTTGGTGTGCTTGTTGCTTAGTGCAGTAGGACAAACTCCTTGGAAGGTCCTTCTATGAAGGTTCTATGAGTGGTCGCCATGCCCTCCCTCTGTTACCCTTGGCTACCGTACCTGCACCAGGCCTTCATGGAGCATGAGTGGATTAGGAATTACAAGATGAAGAGAATTTGGGGATTGTTTTATGTTCAAATGATTGTTTCTCAGTTCTTTCTAAAGATAGTTTCAACATGAGAATCCCTTTGAATTGCTAACTTAATTTCAGTGAAATCCAGAAACACCAGTCTAACACACCTCTGTGGTCTTTCTGCAGTGCTGTTGTTGTCATATATATTATACATGTGTATACTGTCAACACAGTAATACAGTTTTGTAATTATTACTTTGTATAATCTCATGCTCTTCAGGAAGCTAAAAGGAAAACTATATATGCAATGTGCTTATGGGAACCTGCGTGCTTACCATTTCTGGTTGTCTTTGTTCCTTGCTGTGGATGAGTTACCAGCTGGTACCATCTCTTTGCTTCATGCATCTTCACTGTTTCCTGGCTCCTTTGAACTGTCATCTACATCGTGCAAGATCTTCTGTGCTGTCCAGGGTGAATTCCCAGCAAAGCTTTTCTGGCTATCCTTTCCATGGATGTTCCTGCTAAATTTCTAGCCAGTTTGCTAGTATCATGGGACATTTGCTTTCCTTGATTATTAGCTGCTGTGCTCTCTATTGTTTTTGATAGTATATATACTAGGTATGGCCTTTTAAATACTCCATTCAAATAATGCTAACTTCCTGGGCATTCCTGTCTTGGTACCTTACCTACCCAGAGATAGAATGTCTGCAGCCTGGAGCTGGGAGAGGGAGGTAGAAGCTGATGGTCTATTTGATCACTTTACCCACTCACTAGAGTAGACATGAATTTACAAGGGTCTGTGGATGTGCGGATGGAATAACGGTCTGTGGCTTAAATGCCAAGGTGCCCACTGTTCTTACATGACTCAGTAGATTTCCTTGATTACACACTTTTGGATTTTTATATGCTCTATGATCCATTTCCAGAGACTTACCTTGATTTCGATAGTTTTGTATAGTTTTGCTGCTACTTTGGGGGAGTAGAGAGTAAGGGCAAGACCTGCCAATCTCTGTACACAGCAACTCCAGAAAAATAATAGAACTTAATGACAAAAAGAATGATATATTTTAAGGCTTGAGGGTATTGCCTTGGGGTATTTTTATTCATGTCTCTCAATTATTTTTTGCTTATTGATTTGGACATGATTTTACTTTTCTAATTACTTTAAACAGAAAACTCTAAGATTTTGAACTACATAGGAAAACTCTTGTCGCTCATTTATTTTTTGTTTTTAAACATTGTTTCTTATGGCCTTGAGTTCAACATGTAGTTGAGGCTGGCCTCCAACTCCTGGTCCTCCTGCCTCCATCTCCCAAATGCTGGGATTACAGGCTTGAGCCACTGTTCCTGGATTAGTGTTGGTCCTTTACAAACGTGGGCCCTGTGGCTGAAATTTGAATTGTAGGCAGATCAGCTCTGTTGGCGTTGGTTCTTAAAACTTAGATTTGGATTGTTAGATGTCTTACTTCAGACATGAAAACTGGTCCAAGTGAATCTGGTTCCACAATGTTGGGTTGTGAGTAAACATGTGGCATCAAAGCTATGTTCAGTATGGGCTTTGTGCAAACTGGTACATGAAGTGCCCAGTGCATGCCAAGCGCCAGTGCTGGCTGTGTGATTTGCAGTAGGACATGGTCTTCATGTTGCTTCTACTCACAGCTGTCAGACCTCACGTATGGTGCCTCTGTTGGATCGACTTTCATCACCTATCACGTTTGGCCCTGTCCTAACCTCCTTTGGATTATCTTTGTTTGGCTGAACTTTTTGCACAGGGGTAAAGATTCTCTTTTCTTCTTCTGTGGACTTCATTGATTTCTTGGTGGGTCAGAGGATTTTAGAGCTTCTTAGGCTTTGGGTTTTCTCTGAATGCTCTCTGCTCTTTGACATATTTAAGTGTTATGAAACATTTTTGACTAGTCTTAAAAACCAGAAAGTTTTTATTTCTTTTTTAGTTTTTAAAATTTTATTTTTTTCTTCTTTCATTCATTTATTTCTATGGGGCTTTTGGGTACTCTAACATTTCCTCCTCTGAAGAGGTAACCCTAAAATCTTTTAAGGATTAGATACAAGCTCCCAAATACTTTCGACATTTTTGGCCTTTGGAACAGAGTATGTTGCTAACAGTCCTAAGGAAAATTTGAGTTTTAGCCAAGAAACTGTCTACTTTTCTTTGAGGTCTTTTTACCCTAACTGCCTAGCCAATTCCTACCTCCTATTCTTATCACGCCATCCTCTGAAGGGGTTACCCAAATTGCCAATAGGGAATCAGGACACAGACCACTCTGGTTTCTTCCATGCTGAACCGGGACGCAGGGTGAAGCAATTGGAGTACTCCTTCACTGGGTTTATCTAAAAGACTCCCAAATTGCATAACTCTTATCTCTTGGGGGGAGGGGGAGAAAGTCCTTGAATTGTGAATAGGAGATGTGAAGGAGAAATAAAGACAAGAATAATTATCATTACAAGTTCTAGACAGGGAATTAGAAAACAGCCAGAACAGGGCAATTTTCAAATGTTCATTTGAGAGTCCATTGGAATTTCTTGAAAATGGCTTCCAAAAGCATCCTTCTATTGGGTTCCTCCTCATTTTTCTTTTGTCTTCCAAGGCTGGACTCTAGACTAATGGATTCAGGATTTGCTTTCAGATATTTTGATAGCTGTTGGTGTGGTTAGAATCAGTGTCAGTTCCCTCTCAAAAGCTTCTAAACAGGGGAGAAACATTTTAGAACAATAGCTGGTTGTCTTCCTTAGTAACAGGTGGTCACTACAGTATTGGAGACCAAGACTTGAAGTCTCACATCTGAGCAGCACTTTCTGGTTAGGAACAAAATCATCAGTGAGAAATAATTGTCTAAATAACTTTTTATATAGACTTAAGCCTAATGTCTGGGAAGTATAATCCCTTGAACTCTTAAAGAAATATACTGATGACTTTACTCTTTGGTTATACTTTCTTTTGGGTGTTTAAGACCATACGGTTGGTCCAAATAAATCAATTTATTTTTACACTTAAGGTCATTTGAAAATCTGTTCCTCAGGGGTCACATGGGCTTGGGAGGAGAACCTGGCTCTTTTCTTTTAACAGTTCCATCTAGGTGAAGATAAGTCAAAGTTCCTGTTTGACCATGTCTGGCTTCACTTGGAAGCATGGAGGAAATGTTTCCTCTGAGTGACCCTCCTCTTTGTAGACTGGACACTGGTTCAGGTCCATCTCGTAGGGTCTCCATGGCCTCCCTGAACAAGAGGACAGGTGACTCACCACAGTTACAGGGCATTTTGAGAGGTGTTCCATAGTCCCCTGGAACTTGGTTGACCTTGGAGGGCAAGGGGCAAAAACTGTCCTTTAAGTGCCTCTGACCACATTAGTATAGACCTTAAAGTATAGTTGTTAAACATCCAATAAGGTTAGTTCCACCAGTCTGGTACTTTTAATTATCATGTGCTATATAGATAAGGCTTGGGTAAAAAACCAAATATTCTCAGATAAAATTGACTAGATATATATTTTGACTAAAACTAAGACCATAGAAATTTTAAGATTATGTATATATTATTTTTGTCTCATCCTTTATATATAACAAACCTAACCAGACCTCATCACTTGCTTAGGCTTTCTCATATTTTTTATTTTGGAAAATATCTTCATTTCCATATCCTTTTAACACCTTTTACATTTTCATTTTCTTTTTTAAAAAAACAATTATGAGACATAATAGCATTAACAAACAAATTTTCAGTCGGTTGTGAAACTTCTATTCCTGGGGATACTAAGCAATGCTTATTCCCTTTTAAGGTTCTGGTGTCAAGCCAATGTTTCATTAAAGTTTTACTGGGGAACCAATGAATTTATTGAGCTTACTTACCGAGATAATGGAGGGGGCTGCTGAGGTATATGTATGACCTGAGGGTATGCACACTGGATAGCCTTTACCCAGCACGGGTCATGCCTTCTCTTCCTAGCCTTCTGCAGATTGTGTATGTTAGCCCTCCCCAAATCCAGGAGGCTATGTGTTGTTGGGGTCAAATTACATACAGTTGGCTGGGAAGAGTGGCTGGATACTCCAGTGAGGGTCCAGTGACACTGCTTGGCCCTCCTTTAATGAATGAGCACAACCGTCCTCAAGCCCAATTGTGACGATGTTTAAATTTTATTGGCAGACAGGTATTTGTTATAAGCAAATGCTATACTTAGGGGTACCTGTAACTGTTGAGACTTAGAGGTCCTGTTCCGCAACTCCCTAGTTGTCTAAGAGAAACCAGTTGGCAAAGCAGTGTGTCAGGAGACACACTGGAGAACTACCAGCTTGAGAGTAGAAGGCTTGGTAGGAAGTGAAAGGCTGGGGGAAGGTGCTGGCCAGCTTGGGCCTGCTTCCTCCCTCCTTCCCAGTACCTCATCTTTCCACCACAGCCATCCTTAAACTCCAGGTCTGAACCACCCTGCCACCATGTGATGAGCTTTCCTGGTGAAGAGCTCAGTGAGTATGATTTGGAGCCAGGACAGATTCCTGATTTCCAGTCCCAGCCTCTCCTATGCTGGAGCCCCTTCTTGGCTTCTGCTAAGTTCTCTGAACTCCTCTGTACTAGTCACATCCCACTGTAAGGGTCGGGATGAGTATTCTCCATAGTGGGATGTGCTGTCCCCCACCCCTAGTCTCCAAAAAGGAAGCCAGCACTACCTGCAGGGACTGAGTCTGAATAGTCTTTGTAGTTGGAGATTCTGACACATAGTAGGCAGAGTAACTTTTTAAACTTCAATATCTAAACAAGCATATAGACTTTTATATGAGCGTCTTTTAGAAAAAAATAACAAAGTGAAAGACTGAGTGGAGACTGTCACTAAAGCTCTGTGGATATTTTGGTTTTCTTCCTAGATGCGAGCTCAGATAATTTTGGATACAACCTGCTGACATTTATCATCTTGTACAACAATCTAATTCCCATCAGTCTGCTGGTGACTCTTGAGGTTGTGAAATACACGCAAGCTCTCTTCATAAACTGGGTAGGTTTCCAAGAAAACTGAGTATAAAATGTGAGCTGCTGGAGAGATGCCAGTCCCTGTTTTCCAATGCTCTCCATGAGCCTTTGTCATTTGATTGCACTCCCAGAAAAGGACAGAGTCTGTTTATTACTAAGTTAGGGGAATAAGATGGACAAACCGAAACCAGCAAGCAATGTCCAAGACCTGAGAGGTGGGGAGGATGTGACCCCACCAATTCAGGGATTGTCTTAAAGAGTAAGTGGAAGGGGAGGATGCCCAACAGATGCTTGTCCTCTGTCTGCCACTGCCCTGAGTGCTAGAGTTCATTCTCTATTAGATTTCATCATGACAGTTTGGACTGGATCATAAGGATGGAGGTGAGAATTTTAAGGGGCTGCCATGGCTGTTAAGCACTGGGTCTTGACGACCTTCTTTGGCAGACCAGGAATTTTCATGTGTTTTACTTTGCTATTCACAGCAAGCCTGTGAGAGAGGCACTGATCCAGTTTAGAGCCAGGACATGAGATGATGATCTCTTGAACCCAAATCTTCTGTGAAAAAATATGTGGTTCCTTGTCACAGGCTTTCCCTCTCCTAACTGCCACTGCATTTTCTTTTCCTCTGTTTTCCCTCCTTTCCCTCCCCTTTTCTTTTCTTTCTTTATTTTCTTTTCAGAGACAGGATCTTCCTGCAGCCCCAGCTGGCCTGGAACTCACTGTGTAGACCAGGCTGGCCTCGATCTCACAGAGACCTACTGGCCTCTGCCTTCTGAGCGCTGGGATTAAAGGCATGCACCACCATGCCTGGCTACTACATTTCTACCCCAAGATAAAAGTTCATGTTTAAATTAAAATGGAAGGATTTTAAGTTTCTTGTTCTGTGTTAATCTGAATGAAATATTAGAATTACAGGTTTTCTAAAGCCTTCCTTTGTTCATTGCTTTCTCCGTTCTCTCTCTCAGGACACAGATATGTATTATATTGAAAATGATACCCCTGCGATGGCCAGAACATCAAACCTTAATGAAGAGCTTGGGCAGGTGAGAACCTCTTTGGAAATGTTGAGAACAGTGTCATGAGAGGGAGGCAAGTGTTCGCAGGAGAGCTGCAGGGGGTTTGCATAGTCACCCTTGATTGTGGTTATGGCATCTGGTTTTCAAGGCATCAAGGAATAAAAACATCACTTGGTTTTAGAGACACAGCTGTATCATTTTGCCCAGAAATTCTGTGCAAAAAAAAAATAGTGTAGAACATTGTATAAAATATACTCTAATGAGCTAGGGGTGTGGTGGTACACACCCTTAATCTCAGTACTGGCTTGAGGGGGCAGAGGCAGGTGAATCTTCCTGATTAGAGGTCAGCCTGGTCTACATAGCAAGTTCCATGACAGCTGGAGCTATAGTGAGACCCTTGCCTCTTTATACATTCTTGATGTGAAATCCTTTCATTCTTTGCCTTAGGTAAAATATCTGTTCTCTGACAAGACTGGAACTCTTACATGCAATATCATGAACTTTAAGAAGTGTAGCATAGCTGGGGTGACCTATGGGTAAGCCTGTTTATTACTTAAATTTTTGTTTCTAGTCTTCTGACAAATTTTATTTTTGCTACTTTGTCAAATATTTTGACTTTCTGGTATGCATAAGGGATTATTTGGCTATATAGTTGCTATTAAATGTGCTTAAAAGGTAATGGGGTCCCCAATGAATCTTTAAATACCTGAAATATGACTTATTCCTTTAACTTTTAATGTAACTGTTGAAGTCCCAGGCACCTGTGGATTGGTATATCTACTCTTGTAATTACGCATTTCTTCATGTTTTCATCCATTTTCTGACCACCATTTTCCCTCTCTTTGCCAGTCACTTCCCAGAACTGACTAGAGAACCATCATCAGATGACTTCTCGTAAGTAGATCTAATATACCTTGTCGCTTTGGTGGAAGAGCTTCAGAGCAGTTTTATATCTAAATTTAAGTTTCTTGTGTGTTATTTGGAAAAGGAGCCAGAATAAGTTTTAAACACAAATAGGGTTTAATCCACACCACAAAGCTTTGAACATCATCTGCTTGCCCTTTGTCCAGGAGTCCCTTTTCCAGGAAGCAGCTACCTGCAACTTTTTTACTTTCTAAAACTTATCCTATATTTCAAAATAATATTTTATGCTATTGAAAAACTCTATTGACATTATCGGACTATTCGCCAGAAAAGATTCAGCACCTGCCCTCTGGTGTACTGCCCATTTCTCCCAGTCCGTCTTTCCCAGTCCTTTGGAAGTGCTTAACAGTATCTGTATTTCTTTAGCATATGAACATTGAACTGTGACCTTTGGGTAGGCAGTTTTTCTTCATTATGTTGGGTATTTATTGGACTTACTATAAGACATTTCATTTAGGAAATGCCCTTGTATTATTGCTGTGATAACTGTCCTCCCTTCCCATTTATTTCTCTGCCTTCCTATTGTTAGGCAGGTGGTCAACCTTTGGGTTGATCCTCTGACTTTCTTATCTCTCACTCTTTTTTTTTCAAATATAACTCATATTTTTATTTGTTGATTTTTTGTGTGCATATCATACAGAACATCACAGATAATCTTATTCATCTATATATCTACTTCCATGACGCCCTCCCTTAGCTCCCCTGCCTCCACTGGAGCCCATATACTCTGTCATCCCTGGTACTGTCCACTGTGTTGTCGGTGCCCCCAGCCATTCCCCAGTTCTTGTTCATCACCTGAATCTAGTCAGTTTATCTAGAGTTCCTTGTTTTAGGAAGATCAGCTCTTCCTCATCTAGCAGCAATCAGTTGCCAACATTCCTTTAGATGCGATTAGGGTCTGCTGTTCATTTTCTCAGTTCTATGCTGGGTTACTGTCTGGGAGTCTCTTGGGCACCCTGGCCAACAATTCAAAGGAGGTATCTTCTGTCTGGCATTGTTTCTTGTTATGTAGCCTTTAGCTATACACATGGACTCTTAAAATTTATATTGACCCCTTTAATCTTTGATTATACTTTCCTTTTAGGTATTTAAGACCATACAGTTGGCCCAGATAAACCAATTTATTTTTACTCTTAAGTCGTTTGAAGATCTGTTCTTCAGGGATTACATGGGCTTGGGATGAGCATGGCTCCATTCTTTTACCAGTTCCATCTATGTGAAGATAAGTCAAAGGTTCTTCTCAACCATGGCTGGCTTCACTTGGATGCATAGAAGAAATGTTTCCTCTGTGTTGACCCTCCTCTTTGTAGACTGGACACTGGTTCAAGTCCATCTGGTGGGATATCCATGGCCTCCTTGATCAAGAAGACAGGCTACTCTCTGAAGTTTCAGGACATTTTGAGAGATTCTTATAGTCCCCTGGAACTTAGTCTACCTGGGAGGGCAAGGAGCAAAAGCTGTCTTTTATGTCCCCCTGACCAAATTAGTATAGGCCTCAAAGTATGGCTGTTAAACATCCAAGAAAGTTAGTTCCACAAGTCTGGTACTTTTAATTACCATGTGCCATGTAGATAAAGCTTGGGCAAAGACCAAACATTCTCAGATAAACCTTGCCTAGACATATATTATATTCCTTGATCTAGCTGTATATATAATTTATCAGTAAGTTGTTGGACTAATATGGTTCCCTCTGTTTTTTTTTAAAACTAGTTAGGCATTATTTATGTCTTTCATCATCTAACCCTTCTACCATGGTTTCCCCAAGGTGCCCCCACTTCTCCCTTAATAATACCCGTCTCCTATGGTCCCACCTCTCTTGAGCTTCTTCTTTCCCATTATCCCCTAGGTTCCTTGTATACCCTTCCCTCCCCCTCCCCTTAAAATAGCCCTATTTTTATCCATATCTCCCTAGTAACACACGTTTCCTACTGTTCTCTTTCAGGTTCTTTCTTTTCCTTTACCTCCCTGGTTCCTTTTCATTACCCTGGTTCCTGTAGTTATGTCTGGATACATACTCACTTAACAGGATTTGGTGCTAGGATCCATATATGAGGGAGAATATACATCTTTTTTTTTCTGAGTCTGTGTTACTTAGTATGTTTCTAGTTCCATCCATTTACCGGCAAATTTCATGATATCGTCTTTCTTTACTGCTGAGTAAAACTCCATTGTATAAATGAACCACATTTTCATTATCCACTTGTCAGCTGAGGGACACTTAGGTTGCTTCCATCTCTTAGCTATTGTGAAGAGTGCAGCAACAAATGTGGATGTGTAAGTGTCTCTGTGATAGGATGAGTTCTTTGGGTATATGCCAAGGAGTGGTATAACTGGGTCAAATGGTAGGTTCATTTCTGGTTTTTTAAGAGTTCTCCACACTGCTTTCCATAGGAGTTGTACAAGTTTGCAGCCGCACCAGCAGTGGATGAGTGTTTCCCTTTCCCCACATCCTCTCCAACATTTGATAT